TAAGTAAATAAATAAATGACGGCTATGTTTCTTCAATACATTCCTAGCATCTGGCCCAGTTAAGGCTGCTATTAAGTTATAGCCTCAGGCAGGTGGGAAAAGTTCTGTCCTGCACAGCAAAGCACAGACCATCAGCAATAAGAATGCAAAAAACTGTGACTTACTTGTATACAGGTCTATGGGACTTCCGTCTCCTTCTGTATCACTTGTAGCTGCTACTACAGCAAATACTGTGAAGTTGTACAGTGTCCCAGGGATTAACCCAGTAATTTCTGCTCTGGGTTCACTGGTCTCATTCTTCAGAGCTGTATTATCTGTACAATTTAAACCCTCTATCCTGTATGTGTATTGGCCATCACCACTTTTATTCACCATCCATTTTAAGATGACAGAATTCACACCAATGGATTCTGCTGTGAGGTTATAAATCAGGCTGGATTCTACGAAAAGAGAAAAAAATTTTTAAACTTACAAGAATATTTGCTGACAAACACATATAGTGCTCTCCTCCCTGCCATATCCAGTCTGCGTAAAACAGAAATCAGCCTGAGAAAACAGTCAAGCCACCTTTCTCTACTGCAAGGCACACTTGCAAGCTCTGCCGTCGACTGCAACTCCTCAAGCTTCACCTCACCTCTAGCAGTAAAGCTGTGTAGGAGCAGCAGTGATTTCTGTGCTGCCTCAGCTGTGAGCTCTACGCAGTGTGCTGACAAAGACTGGGACACACAACACGCTGACATTTCTTTCCTTAACTGGATATTCCAAAGAGAGGAGCCTTTCTAGCTGCAAGATTCCCACATCTGTCCTGTACATATGTTACATAAAATGTTCTCTACTAGTCAGAGGACTTCAGCTGCACCCCATCACTTATGCATTTCAAATCTCCATGTCACAATCAGTTGAACTATTAACCTGTAACCTAAAAAGTCATAGGGAAGGGAGTCTCAGTCTAACACGGATAAAACTATTCCAAGGCTATGCTGCAATCACAGCATGAAACTGCACTCCCAGTCAGGTGTGCAGATGCATTTCTTGGCCTCATTCTCTACTGCAGTACAGCAGTTGGATTAATACCCCTTCAACGCTGAACTACTGTAATCATGATATAGAAGTGCAAAACACCCCAAAAATTCACATCCCAGTCACATTCCAAACCACAAATGTGTTACAGTGCTTAGATCACCTCTTGTCTCATCAGCTAGTGATGCAGCCCCGACCACTCTTCCATCTGCAGAGGTTCTGTTCCCACTGGCAGAGTTTATGGATAAATTATCATTACTACTGGTTGCTGGTTCTGCAGTTGCATTATTTGAGCTGCAATCCTCAGTGCCTGAAAGAACACAAAACTCAGTCTTTACAATACTTCTGAACTTCCCATTTGCAGAAATACAGTCACTTACAGATATCATGCACAGACCCACAGTCACTTCTGTTTTCCCAGTTCTACAGAAACCTCACTGCACATTTCCTGGTTTTACCTCTTAACTTCTGTGAGATTATTTGAACTAGATTTAAGTGACTGTCACATTATTTCAGCCATCCACTGACTCTACACATGGTTTGGATGAAAGCTACTATGACCTCTCTTTTCAGTACAGTTTTGTTTGAAAGCAGTTAAAACAACTTGCAGCCACACTCCATGTGTGTGTTTCCTTCATGTATTATCAGAAATTTTGTTTAACCTGGCATAGCAATTTTTTTCTCTCCCCCTAAGAATATTCCCCTCTTCCCCTCTCATACTCCCACAATGTGTTCCATCCAGTAGGGAAGAGACATGGCTCTATATCTAGAGGCAGAAACATTACATCAATTTTATAGGCCAAAGCATAGAAAGCTTTGACTTAGACCCTAAAATTTAAAGGCTAACTCATTTAAATCTGATGTTCAGTATTAAGGTAGAATTTATTTGCGCACACTTTCAGAAATTTCTGCCACATAAAAACATATTATATTGGCCAGAAAAGCATCTCTAAACTGAATTTCACTTCAGATATTCTTTAAAGGCGTCACTTGGTGTGTCTTGTTTTTGGAGTTTGTTTGGTTTTTATTGCCTTTAAGTGTATTTTCCCATCTTTCTAAGCACATTACACCTGCACTTGATTTTATCAGAACTCTCCACAAAGTGAAGAGCAAAGGGATTTAAATACAGATTTATATTTTTACATATCCTTAAATGCATTGTAGGTATTACAGTTACTAAAATAACTGAGTATATATTTTTAACTGCTGTTTCTAAAAATTCTTTCTAGGAAGCTTTTTAAAAAAAATACTTTGCTGATACTGCTCGATCTTTCTTAAAGCCAACTAAGACAAGGGGAGTTATATTTAAAAAAAAAAGAGCAAGCAACAGAATGATACTTACAAGCAACTGTACATCTGACCTGGAAAACAAAAAAAAAATAGTAATTAAAACCACTAGAAGCTCAAATAAAATAAGGAGTGGTTTAATTAACATGAGGGAGGAAGAAATCTGTTTTAAAAACTTCAGATTTTCAAATTTGCAAAGGACATATATAAACTTCTACTGACATAAAAATAACACCAAAAATACATCAAACTAGTAGAAAAAAAATTTAAGCATGCTGGTAAAATGTAAGTTTCCACGTTCTAAAAAGAAGTAGTTTATTTTGTCACCAAAAAAAAAAGGTTTGAATAACCTAAGTTGGTTATTTTGCACATACAAATTTATAAACCAAACTTATAAGATCTTAGTTAAAACACACTTTAGTTAGTATCCTTAACACTGTCCCACAAAAAAAAAGGCAGATGTCAGTTAGGTCTTTCTTATTAATAAGAATATTCCTTTCATTCTTTTGCTGTATAAACCTTCATATTACTTCTCACAAAAGAGTGTTTTCCATTTTCTGAAGCAAACATAGGGTAGTCAAAGTTCAAAGCACTTGATACCTGCTCTGAAATCCAGTTTACATGTGTGCACACATCCCTAACATATCAGCAGTTGCCATTTAACTGCAGCCTGAAACTCCTCTGCTGGTAACACTGACAAACACAGCAGAATTTTGCTTTGAGAATGATTTTTAGCCTTCAGACTTTGTACTTTACTTCCAAATAGCTATTTTCCTTCCTGTTGGAGTGAGAATTGGCCCATAAATTGTCATATGAAGTGGCGCCACAAAATTCTGCTTAAAGGAGTGAAGTAAAAGTCCCAGACTGAGGTCTGCAAGAAGCAGTCTTACCTAAGGCACTTAGAACTTTTGTTTTCTCTACCCCCATCAAATTTCTTGGCCATTTGTCCAATTCCATGAGTTAACTCAAATAAGCAGCTATCTCACAACACCCTGATGCAATGCTGGAATCCCAAATCACTCACTGCCCCAGCTGCCATGTTGCTGGTGCCACAAGGAGCTCCAGCTCATTGCACCAGTCATGGGTCCAAGCAGACACACCCTCAAAAAGCAGTCAGAAAATACCATTAAAATCTTATTCCTGTGATGGTCTCAGTGCCACAGCAAAAAGAGTTTGGGTGACTTTCCTAGGCAAAAAAAGCACTTGTAAGCATCAAAGACCTAATGCCTGGACAACATGGCACACAACGGACATGACATGGGATGCACATGTCCTACATCCAAGTGTGAGGCTCCTCCTCAACCTGAGCTTTTAAGAGCTCAAACTGCAAGGCTATTCAGGAAGTGAGGAAATATTTGCCTGCACCCAGGTCAAGAGTACTCCTGCATTCCTTTGTGAAGTGTCTGAGGAAGAGCTCAAGGAGGAAACAGCCACTCTGAAGGCAGGAAGACACTGCTGTGCAGGGTCCAGAGCAGAAGAACTAAGCTGTGTGGAAACAGCTGCTGAATAGTAAGAGGTGAGATCCCCTGAAATGCAGGGCAATCTACAAGCAAAGCCAAAAGGATGTTATGTTTATTAAGAAAGAGAGCTCACAAGCAGAACAAAATTAACAAGAAATGCCACAGGACTAAGCTACAGTGATTTCTGCAGCCCTACAGACAAAGAATCAAGAGCCTGACGTCATTCACAATCCATCATCCTTCATTACCTTCCCTTCTGTAGAACTGCCTGAAAATGAACTTTCTTATCTCCTTCTTCACAAATTATGAGTTTAGGGGAACAACATCCTTCCTGAGCAATAGGAACAACAGGTATTATTGTATGACTGCAAAACAGGTATGCCACTAGCAAATACCCTGAACCTTTCATTTTTTAGCATTCCATTTCTTCCCTTGGAAGAAAGGAACATGATTCCTGTTTTATGGGCATCTGATCTAATGGTAAATAATGACCAAGCTGCTTTAAATTTTGTTGTACTGTCACATGTGGACTGCGGGCTTCCTTTTATTAAGGATGCTCAAACAACCTCAAAAAGGAAAGTTACACTAAAATTCCTGTCACATTATTTAAAAACTGCACCCCAACATTCTACTTGCTTATCACACCCTGGCAATATTCCCTCAAAATACCCTTCTGACTTTCCAGAACCTTATGTGCAAAATCAAATTTAAAAAAATCATATCCCACTGGCAGCTGGCAGGCCTTCCTTCTGAAATCCATAACCACACAAAACAAACGATCCCATGCCCAAGCATCAGCCTATATGACTCAGTCATTCCATGCTGTATTTTTCAACATCAGCCATGAACCAAACTGCTCTCCAACCTGATGTTATTACTTAGAATTTACACAAAACATTTCTTTATGATTTCAGAGTATATTTGCACTGAACACCTGATTCTCCTTGTGTTTGCATTAAATACATCATGAGCTCTGCCATCCCTGTTTTTCTTTTCCAATGACACAAATCTCTATTATTCATATATACAGTTGGGTAATTTTTTTTTAACTTTTGTGGTGCTTTGGGTAGGGATGGAACATCCTTAAGCAAGAAAAGACAGCAAAATGCCAAAAGCTGACCATTTCAACTGAAAACCAGGAGGGAAATGTATACACAAACCCATCACTGTCATCAGCTATGGCAAAGGAATTTTTTCATGTGCCACACGGCCACGCTTAGGGCCTGATCAAAGTCTGTAGGTTCCAGAGGAGCTGAGGAATTCATTTGAACGCGCAAAAGGTCTGTTCTGTGCTCTCTGTGTGAGCAGTTTACAACTGACCAGGAGCTGGTGGTGTGTGATACAACCCGAATTCAGCTCCATCCTCCTCAGGCGTACACTGGGTTGTCTAAGGGAGGAATCAGTATTAGTCTCACAAGTAATCTTATCCAGGAAGAATTAAGACACGGTACAGGAAAACTTGTTAAAAAATAGTGAGTGACTGAAAAGACCAAATCCCATTGATATTTGATAACTCAAAGTAAGATATTTCCAGGAGCAGGATTTAAAACACGCCAGCTCTACACATGCACTGGGAGAGCCACAGGGAATAGAGCAGTGCAGACCTTCAGCTCAGCTTGGCTCTGCTGCCACACTGTGCCTCTAATGAAGTTGGGGTTCCTGCTCGGGGGAAAACCCTTGTGGACAGCAGCCAACATACCTGCTCCAGTTTTCAAAACAAACAGCATGGTTTGGTTCATGTAAATATTAGGTCAAAGGATGGCTAAAGAGTCAAAGTGAGCAAACCAAAATATCTTAGCCAAAAAAACCCTTAACCACAAACCCTTTCCAAGAACACCACTTGAGGTTGCTGCTTACTGTTTCTGGTGGGCTCAGCACTGTGTGCCTTGTGACTCAAGATGCAAAAAGCCAGAGAGTTAATCTCATCCCTCTCAAAGCTGATCTTCCAAGTGCGTACCTTCGGATCTTACAGTCTCCATCCACCCATCCTCCCAGGTCTGGAGTTCCATGAAAATATGACCAAGCTATCACAATGGTCTCCAAACTGCTTCTCAACAGCCTTTCACCAAAGCAGCAGCATAATTAAGATGACTGACCCTCTAGGCAGTACCCCTGATCTCACACCATTTTTCCCTCTCTATGTCTAGCTATGGTTAGTTGTCCCACATGAATAACTTTGGGCTTTGGGACAAGCATCATCACACAGCACCATCATCATGGCTTTGCTGATGCTGTCAGCCACCACCACTCAGCCAACAAACATTAACCAGCAAAGATGCACTAAACTGGCCACTTACAGACCCCTCTCTTACTTAGCATGGACTTAATTCAGGAAGTATTCCCACAGAAAGCTTTTACTCAAGGTCATACAAAGTAAGTAGAAGTCAAACTCAGGAAGCCCTGCAATAATGGAAATGGATTGCCCCAGTATTGCATTCACAGACTGATACAGTTTTCCAATACTTGCTGATTTGCTAGGATTTTTAAGGCATGGCCTGCTATTCCACCTGGGGACATCTTTCCATTTGCCTGGGAGTGCAAAGTGTAAATCAGCAAGGAGTGACGCCTTTCTGCTGGAGAGTAATGTCCTGAAGGAAGACAAGGTGGGTTTGGGAAAGATGAAATGTTTCTGTCTCTTGAAACCCATCTCAGGGCTGTTCCGTCTCATTCATTTCCATATTATTTCCAAATTAATGAAGTTTTTAAGCTTGCAGCACTGGGCAAGAAGAATGAGTTCACCTGAATTGGGGCACAGAACTATGTGCTTAAACCTGTATGAAGCTAGTTCAAGTAACATGCCTTATCTGGATAACGTGTGGGCTCTGGGGTGGAAAATATATCATACTGGAAAATAAGTCAAAATATACTTGGGTAACATAATAGCCCTACTTTCCAATTTTTTAATAAAATTACATATATCTTCAACTGCAAAGCATTTCCCTGCATTTAAGAAGAAAACTTCAAGTGAAAATCATGGCACTATTACAAAACACAGCATCATCAAGGCTGGAAGACACCTTCAAGATCATCCAGTACAATATCAATGCAACACCAGCACAATCACCCCTGAACCATGCACCAAATGCCACATGCAAACATCTCTTGCACACTTCCAGACAGCCTTTAATTTACACAAAGGATATGCCAAGCCAAGAAAAGCAGGTGTTTTCCCCTGTGCTCACTGTCCAATAAGGAAAAAGACAATGTGAATAAAGCTTGTGTGCTGAAAGAGTGCAAACATAACAGCTCAGTTACCAATTCCAGTGGCATATGTGGATACTTAGCCCTCCTGTATCAGGTCCTTTCTACTTGAAGGAGGAAATAATCAACAGGAGACTAAGTGAGAAGATAACATTTAATTACATGACATAGTTTCATTGAGGAGTGATTACTTTCTGAATTCAGTGCTGGAGTTTGGGGTTGGTTATAATTTTTTCCCCCTTTCTAGTGAATATTTACTCTGTTAAACTGACTTTAACTGCATTCCACAACAGTTCTGTGTTTTTGTTATTTTTTTCATTCAAATTATCTCCAGATAACCTCAATAACATGATGCACTCACTTCCAATGAAAAATGGAAAATATGCTGTGGCAAGGGTCAGTTCCACCTGTTTTCCCTCTGGTATTTTATGCAGGTACTCACAGCACATACACAATACACCACTTCACAGAATGTTTGCTGTAAGTGGGTTTATGCTACAGTAAAAAAGCTCTACTTTTACAAACAGCACTAAGTTTTTACAAGATGTTTAGAGTCTTCTTTTAACCCTAAATGGGCAGCTCTGCCAATGAGTCTGCACAGGACCAGATGGAGATGCAGAACTCGGAAGAAAGAAATGTGAGCTGGTGTTTGTTATGAACTGGGTGGGGCTGGAGCCTCCTAGGCCACCCTGCTGTATCTGGGAGCTGTGCAGAGCCCTGGAACAGCCACACACAACTGTGCACAGGCTATTTTCAGCTGTTATGCAGTTATGTGAAAGAAGAAAGGCTATTTCCACTTTGCATGTATTTATACTTTGCCCCTGACATTTCTAAATTCTGACTTCCCTGAAGCAAGATTTTCTGCAAAGAGAGGCCAAATATAATTTTTTTCCACAGGTTTTTATGAAAACATATGAGAACATTCTAGTTTGTGCAGCACCTCCAATGAACTGAAAGTGCTGTGGAAGACAAAGCCTTGTAAGAAAACCAAGATGAGACACCAAAAAGGTATTTGTGATGACACATACTAGAGCAACCTCGTTTTTCCTCGTTTTTCCTTGATTTTTCTGCAAGTTTAACTTGTATCTGCTTTTCAGATGGCTAGCCTAGGAGCAAGGAGTTTTCTGGGCAACATATCCAAAATAAAGAGAAAAATACAGACATCAAAACCCAAACATGACTGCATTGCAACTGACAGCTGTCTCACCACTGACCTCAGAGAACACCATTAGATTTAATTCCAGCGACTTCCAGTTTAAAATGTTTAGTTTAAAATGTTTCCATGCAGCCCAGTAGCAGTTCTGTTTCACCCAGACCTGCAGGTCCTGATTAATTGCAGGCATTAAGTGCTGCAGACCATCTCATAGTTTAGTAGGAT